CTATGCTATCGAGTTCCACCTGCCAGATAGAGTTGCACGCCAATTTGGAGTGAGACAGCTTTGGCCTATGGCTCCGTTCTCGACTAGCGTTGACTTACACAAGTAAGCATTTTGCTATTTCAAATCATGATGGTCCATTTCTATTAATATGGTGAGATGTACATAGATTCAAGTAATGATGACATACGTGCGGGTTGGATCGTCAGAAGAACAGAAAGATTTTTGACTAGGAGAAGCACCACCAGTCCTACATTGAGCAATGGGAGGAGATGCACGACAACATGGACAAGAACAACGAACCGCACACGAACCGTGAGTTCAGGCGGTACCAAGCTTGGTACCAGTGTGCGACACATTGCAGGCTGAGGGTATAGTGGACAAAAGATGACTACGCCGACATCGAGTCCTCCGACGATGAAGACACGGCATATGACCAATCTACTCGTGCAGGAAGACAGGTGGAGGCAGGACCGATCTTGGACAGAGTGGTAAGTCAACTGCTTTATTTTTCTATGTTATGTTACATACCAATATATTAGGCGTTAGAGTTATCTATTTTAGTTAGTGCCACCTTCGAGACGTATCATCCTTACAATACGTTAGATTCTTGTATAAAAGAAAACAAAACCTATTACTATCTGTTCAGAAATATTATTACTGAGAACTTTGTTGTAGGGCAATACACTCAAATGCTCCATTGAAGAGATTGAGCGCATTTGGCCGAGAGTCAGGGATGACTACATGCTTAGCTTCCAAGACGTAAGATTCAAAATATTCTTTCAAACATAATATTAATACGTTAGATTCTTTCAGTTAACATAATTCTGTACAATAGAGGCTATCATGTCGGCTATGCCGTGCGGCTGCTCGTTGTGGTTGCAGGACAGACACGACGCAAGACGTGTATGTTCCTTCCGCAGGCAGAGAAGGCTTAGGTTCCTCTAGCCAAGCAGCTACAGGGGACAGAGACGAGGACGTGGACCAGAGGAATGAGGAGCTTGGCCCCTCTCAGCTCCACGACTCTCCCTCGACTCAGCCTACACAACCTCCAGGCACTAGGCGACGCCGTCCACATGACCCTTACACTCTAGGTTCGAGCGCTCTCGGTCACAAGGGTAACAGTAAGACTAAGAGACAGTGAGGGTTGTGGTAGATGTTAGTATGCACTATTATAGATTTTGTATTTACTTTTGTGTAACTATTTGGGACTATATGGACATTGTGGACTATTTAGACTGTGCAGGACAGGTTATGTTGATTGTGATGTTCGTTGTGGTTGCATTGTGCTCTTTGGATGATTAAATATTTGGATTATATAGTGATGTCTCTGTTTATAACTGTGGATGCTCCTGAAATAAAGGAAACTCTTGTGATTTTTTTTCCGTGAATCATTAATCATACTACACTGCTATAAAGGCACAAATGTAGTACACAGATTAAATGTAAATTCATTAGAACGGGTATAGTCTAATCGTATCGTACATACGCTTGTAGATGAATCTAGGCTTTTCAAGTAACAATGAACAAATCTAGGTTTTTTAGACAATGAAAATAGACTTTTCAGTTATAAGGACAACAACGATTTATCACTTCAATGACATAGTACTGGCATGCAAGGAAGCACAACTTCACTTCATCTCCACCATCCATCTTATGTCTGTTTAATTACCTAAGGCGTGTCAGGTTTAGTCGAAAAAACTATGTATCCTAGTTCGGTACATGTTCTCACATGCCATTTCATGTGTTGTGTGTTGAAAAGGCACAAATCTAGTACACAAATTAAATGTAAATTTATTAGAACATGTATAGTCCAATCGTATCGTACAGACTTGGGTCAGGACTCCCGACTTGATCGAGACTTCCGACTGTCGGGAGTTTCGACTCACGTCGGGACTTCCGACGTCCACTATCAATGCGCAGGCTAAGTGACTGGGCATTAGGACTTCCGGCATGAGTCGTGACTTTTGACTGTCGGGAGTTTCGGCTTACGTCGGGACTTCTGACACCAACAGACACTAAAAAATATTCTACGTGCCCGTGGAGTGCTAGAGTGTCCCTCTTTTGACTTTATTTCTATGCTTGAGCACTCTATCTTCCTCAGACCAATTAAGTTTGCATCTCTCTTTATAGTGCGGCGGATCCTAAACTCAAAAACAAAAATAAAACCTTTGGAGAGCGCATACTGAGTAATAGCTGCAACATATCTCATTAAGATCACATGAGTCCCTAATTTGGATGTCATCAATACACCAAAACCCACATAAAGGATAAATGCACTTTTAAATCCTCAGTTTGAAACATACTGAGTAAGCAACTCATCATCCGAGTACCAGTCCTCTACCACAACTCTGTTGCTGTGGCTAGGTTCACCTGTATTGGTCTGACCTGTCTGTCGCCTATAGTAAGCGGCCTCCGCTTCGTCTGTGGCCTCTATGGCCTGAGTGAAGAACGCATCGTCATCCTCCTCCGCCAGTAAGTTCGCCTCTGCTAGAATGATGAGCTCGCTCAGTCTGCCAGTGTCGTCCTCAGCCTCCTCTGCCCGCAAGCCCGCCTCTGCTAGAGCGATGAGCTCGCTCAGTCTCCCAGTGTCGTCCTCAGCCTCCTCCGCCTGCAAGCCCGCCTCTGCTAGAGCGATGAGCTCACTCAGTCTGCCAGTGTTGTCCTCATCCTAGTCCCCCTCATCAGACAACACAATCAGTGATTGAATGATACGACTAGCTCGCGATCTGTGCTCATCTAACTTCTTTTCCTCATACTATGCACGAGCCACCTTTGCGACATGTTCCTCGCTGCATCCAATCCCTTCATGTATAAAATGCAATCAGTTAGCAACGCGATTATATTACATTTAAAATCAGGCAATGAAAAAAGGCTTTCAAGCACTCACTAGCACATAATACAACAACATGCTCGTTCAAGACCTGCATCTGCACTCTTGTCTCCTCCCTTGCCTCCTTCCTTGCCCTCTCCTCCTGTAACGTCATTCGTCTCTTCAATCCCTATTTGTCAAGCCCAACATCAATCGGGTTACAAATACCGCGTTGTCTAGCAAACTCACTCATCTTTTCTTTGTGATGTTTAACGAATAGGTTGACGTAGTCAGATCCATATCCCCTCTTTCGTGCAATTACTTGCCTCCCCTTCAGTTCATCTAAGAACTTAGCTTGACCATCATAACATTCCCACCTGCATTTTCTAGTGCTCTGTTCAAATGAAAAATTATATCATATATGTCTTAGCAAAAGAAACAAAATACAATTTCATGTTTACCACAAAAATAACCAACCTCATCATAGTCAATCATATGGCCGCAATAATGGCATATTCCAAGCTCCGAATGGACTAGGCCATAGTTGGATTTAAGACCACATTCACACATGACAATAGGTGATTTGTAAATTACCCTTTCTTTCTTCTTTTCCTTAACCTTTCGCGGTTCTTTCGGCCATTGGTTCTTAGGACCATATAACCAGTCCTTGAAATGACACTTCGCCATTGAAAACACCTAAATAACGTGACATTAGTACATGAACACATATAGCTCAACATTTCAACACATACACTTTGCACTTACTCCATGCTTGTTTGGACACACAAACTCCAACGTATTCTCAGGGTTTATCACAGCTCGATCTTCGTAATGACACAGAGGAGGTTCCTCGAGTCATCTAACTGTGGTTAGGTGCTTCTCCTTAGCCGTCATTGGCGGAGGGTCAGGAGGGTGGAACCCACCGCTTGAAGTGCTCACGTGGATGTCTCCCTCTAAACCAATCATCAAAAAGGAGGTACCTAGGATCAAACTTGTCTGCACCATCAATCCACTGAAAAAAAACACCTCTCATGGTCCTACACAACGTGATTCCAACAAAATATTAGTACCATACTTACACAAATAAAGAAAAAAGATAGTGAAAACAATTTTTTACATTAAAACGACTGCATGTGTAGAAGCACCGCGCCGCTGTGTCCGGATGTTTCGATTAAAAAACGTGGGCCGGGAAACCACAGTCACAGTTAGGGACAGGGAGGTCAGGAGAGACGGGGGGCATTTTTGCTAGACGCGTCGGGGTATAATTCTCGAGGACGACCCCGTTTTCGCCAAAACTCCTCCCGATACATTTCTTACCTCTAACAAAACGGATGTAATTTAACAAACAAAAATCAAAACATCACACAATTACGTTCTAAGAACCAAAAGCAATTAACATTAAACCCTAAACCTAGGGTTTCCCATTTAATGCACAACAATGAACCCATAACATAACTACATGTGATGCGGTTACCTAGGTTTGCTAGATTTTTCACGCATTGACATCATCCTACAGTTGTATAATACGAATATTAAGGGATAGAATGAAACCCTAAGTAATAACGATTCTTAGGTTGAAAAATTAGTCTAATATATACCGAATTGATGCGAAAAAAAACTAGGAGAGAAACGAGGATACCTTGCTTTCGAAGATCTACGGATCAAATCAAAGTTTTCAAGGTCCAATACGCCGATTCGTGAAGCAGGGCGAGGTGGGGAGAGAAAAAATCGAGAGGGAGGAGAAAGAAGAGGTAGAAGGCTATGGGCGAAAGGTTGGGGCCGGGGCTAAAACACAAGCTCGCCGCTAGTCACCCTGGCGTCAAGCTCAGCGCCAAGATCTACGGCGCCAAGCTTGGTGGCAGGGAGACTGGCGCCGAGCTTCTTGCCATGTCGGCTACCACGTTTGCTTCGAGCCTAAGAGCTCGGCGTCAGAAACGCTGATACCGAGACATGTTAGCTCGGCGCCGAGACGTGTTAGATCGACGCCAACAACGATGGCGCTGAGCTAACGGTCCATATTCTGAAATTTTTCCACTATGGGCATATTTGTAAAAAAAAATTAAAAAAAGAGTAAACAATAAAAAATTAGGGCATAAAACTGGCGAGGAGGATGGCGAAAAGTTAAAAAGCCCGAATCCAACAAATAAAAACAGCCGCGGCGAACGGGCGAAGCGGCGAACTGAATCGCGCGATGGCGACGGTGTCGATGGACGTCTCGAAGCCCTCGGCGCTGACGGCGGCTGGACACGAGGCTGCCACGGCGAAGACGAGGGGTGGCGGCGATGGTCTGGGGAAGTACTACAACAAGCACATCCACGACCTACTCCTCGCGGTCCAGCAGAGGACCAATGACCTAAGCCGCCAAGAGGCCCAGCGTAACGATCTCAACTCCCAAGGTAAGCGCGCTGGTTCCCCGAAACCCTAGACTCTCATCTCTATTCTAGCGCTTAGGTCGGTCTCCTCGCTTGCTCTGATTAGGGCGTGTCTGAAGTAGGGCGCCCAAAAGACGATCCACTGACTTTGTGTTTTCAGTTTTATTTTGGATTTGGAAAAACCGGAATTGTACATGTTTGCAAGTCATGTTTAATCCAAGTACCCATGGATCAGGTTTAGAATTGAAGGCCCCCTTACCAAAGGGAATTTGATCTTCGTGCTTCATGTTGGAGATTGGAGATTGCTGAATTTTGCTAGTGTGTGTAGTCCTGATGATGGTTACACCTCTTTCAGAATTGAAACTTGCCTATCACTCAGTTCAACCAACTGCTGAAAAGTGAAAATCTCCTCGCTTTTACAGTTGCACGCTGCTTACGCTGAGAAATTTCCCTGTTGCACGTTTGCATTTGTTTGCTCTCTGCGCTAGCATTCATGAAATCCTCTCTGTTAGATGAGGTGCTAATGCTAGATGTTAACTCCCTGCGTTTCAAATTATAAGACATTTTGGCTTTTCGAGATACATTACTTTTACTATGTACCTAGACATAGTGTATACCTAAGTGCATAACAAAAGCTACAAATCTAGAAAAGCCAAAACGTCGTATAATTTGGAATGAAGGGAGTATTGTGTCGACAGAATTCTAATGAAGATTTTGGAATGAACTATGTTATTGCTTACAATCGTTGATAACTCGCAGCTTTTGTGTTGCAGTTAAACTGTGCCGGGAAGAGTTGCATCTGCTTCAGGAACCGGGTTCACATGTTGGTGAGGTTGTGAAGGTGATGAGCAAGTCAAAGGTTCTAGTAAAGGTACATCTCTTCTCTTTCTTTGGTTTTTAAATGTGGCTTATGAACATCCCAGTCTTGCTTTGGCATAATGGAAGAAGCTCAATATTTCATTCCTGGCTATATGTGAAAAGGAACAAATACATCCTTTCTAATCCAAAGTATGCTGTAAAAAAATAATACACGCGAACAAGGATAGATGTTATGCAAATATCTAGTACTTGGTCTATGCAAATATTAGGGAATATAATAGAAACTGGAATGGTGCTTATCATAGATTTCAGGATCGGACACTCATTATTTGTCATGACATTCTACTTATAATTTCCGTGAAAAATAGCAATAATTCAAGCTGATACCAATTTACTGTGTCTCTTCTCTCTGGTTTCTTTGTTTTTACATAGTCCACAGTATGATCATTATGATAGCAGATGTATTTGTATTAGCATGTATGTTTTGAATGGGACTGAGTTTCCACGTATCCTACTGTATCTAACTGGTTATGGCAATCTCTCAGGTGCATCCAGAAGGCAAATATATTGTTGATGTTGATAAAAGTATAGATATTGCAAAGCTCACACCTTCCACACGAGTTGCTCTTCGAAGCGGGAGCTATATGCTTCATGTTATTCTGCCCAGCAAAGTCGATCCATTAGTTAACCTTATGAAGGTTGAGAAAGTTCCTGATTCTACATATGATATGATTGGTGGTCTTGATCAGCAAATTAAAGAGATCAAAGAGGTGTGTAAAGAATTTCATCGTACAGTACATTTTGTTGTTTTGCCCTTCTGTTAGCACTCTGGCTTAATAACTCAATCTTCAGGTAATTGAGCTTCCAATAAAGCATCCTGAGTTGTTTGAGAGTCTTGGGATTGCGCAACCAAAGGTTAGGGTTTGTTTACCAGAACCTTTATATATGTTTTTTTTTTGTATCAATCAAGTAATTTATTCTGTGGATAATACTATATACTATATTGATATTTATCCTATTCATCTTTCAGGGTGTCATTCTCTTTGGCCCTCCAGGTACTGGAAAAACATTACTTGCTCGTGCAGTTGCTCATCACACAGACTGTACCTTCATTAGGGTGTCTGGTTCTGAGCTGGTTCAGAAGTACATTGGAGAGGGTTCCCGGATGGTTCGTGAACTTTTTGTGATGGCTAGGTACACATTCTCAGTTTATGTTGCAGTCAAATCATCACTCATCACCATCAGTGTTACTTCAATGGGATTCTAAGATAAATTGTTGCGATAAATGCTGCATAGTTATATTCCAAGATGCTTAATTATCTCATTTTGTCTTGACAGGGAACGTGCACCATCCATTATATTTATGGATGAAATAGACTCCATTGGATCAGCTAGGATGGAGTCAAGTGGCAGTGGTGATAGTGAGGTTCAGCGCACCATGCTTGAGCTTCTGAACCAACTTGATGGTTTTGAAGCAACGAACAAGATTAAGGTTCTCATGGCAACAAACAGGATAGACATTTTGGATCAAGCCCTCCTGAGGCCTGGACGCATTGACAGGAAAATTGAATTTCCAAATCCAAGTGAAACTGTAAGTGATGCAGTACTTGGAATGCTAACAGTTTTTCAGCAATCAAGTTTTCAATGCCCACATGGCTGCTGATTTTGACTAACCTATAATCTTCCGGTCTTTCAGTCCCGCTTTGATATTTTGAAGATTCATTCAAGAAGAATGAACTTGATGCGCGGCATTGATCTGAAGAAGATCGCTGTGAAGATGAATGGAGCCTCTGGAGCAGAGCTGAAGGTTTGTATGACGATCCTAGTTTACAAAGCATGCCTTACCAAGAGAAAATTTGCATTCAGAATGAAACAATAGACAGTAAAAACATTAAACAACTTCTTTAAGCATCCGCAGAAATTCAGAAGCCTCAGGTTGTTACCATGTTAGTCCATGTAGTTAAAATTCCATCCACGCAAGATTTGGCCTGGGTAGCAAGGTTAAATGTAACAGTTGTCTGGATTCACCCTCATCATTTTAGCTTCTGCAATTAGCCATTTAGGCAGAATTTCAGTCAGATTTATCTGTGTCCCAGCCATCACTTGCTCACCCTTTGTGCACTGAAAGTGTCAAAGGTGCAGATACCATAACGGTTATGGTACACTACTCACGTTGATTCTACCTTGTGGTTTTGCAGGCTGTTTGCACAGAAGCAGGAATGTTTGCCCTTCGGGAGAGAAGGGTGCACGTCACCCAGGAGGATTTCGAGATGGCAGTGGCGAAGGTGATGAAGAAGGATACAGAGAAGAACATGTCTCTGCGGAAGCTCTGGAAGTGAGTGGCTCATGTCTCTCCGCCAGGCTTACACTGCCATGTCCAAGCAGCTGAAGCGGGTGGCTGCGCGTTGCCGGATTTTCTGTGAGACTCTGGAAAAGCATTTCTGGATCTTGGAAGGTGAATCTTAACAGCGTCGTTGCGTAGCAGCTTTATTATAAGTTAAATTATTGGTTTATTGAATCATTATTAAAGAGGCTTTAGACGGAGATCAGTTATGCTCATGTGCTTCGCCGTCCTGTCACTCTTTATAGCCCAAACTAAGGTGCTGTCTGCTTCGGCGGTGGTGGGAACGGCAACGGTAATGCAACGAGTAAACGGTGTGATCTGTTAGCATGCAACTGAAAGAGCGATTTGTTTGGATGACTATTTTTTGCATATTTGCATGTGGGCGTGCGGGGAGTGGCGGCAACAGATCGCGCCCGGTGGAGAGCGGTAACCAAATTGCATGGGCCCGTATCGGTTCACGGTGTGATGGATTGCGGCTCTATCCAACCAAACGCCGACCAAGGAAATCTACGGCCAAAAATACGTGGGAACTGATTACCGGAATCGGATAGTGAACTGATTACGGGCAAAAAGTTCCAAACCAAACAGCACCTAAATGGTATGGAATGGAAAATTATCAAAGGAGAGGAACTAATAGTCTAAAAGAGATACGTTCTCTTATTCAAATAGTATAATGCTCGTGCTAACGCAACGGTTTTATCTAGAGAATGATCATAAAAACATTTAATTTGTTATTTTGTAATTTAACCTTTACCCAATTATTACATTGTAGCCTAAGTTACATTTAGCGTAAGTCCTTTATCATTTGTTGCACATCTTCAGGGATGTTGAAACATTCGTTTGCAGGACTCGTCAAAATGTCAGCCAAGAATTCCTTCCTCAGTGTAGATGATAGCTGCGCATGGTATAGAATATAATATGTTAGTATTGTATGTAGTGTACGGAATATAGTTGGAGACTATATATGCTTACAGTGGTGATCCGTGGGAATCTTACGTCGTCCCATGACTTCATGAAATTATAGACAAGAAAGCCTCTCAATTTCCTGACGGAGAAGATCAGTTGTTTATTTGATGTACATAAATCAAATTACTGTTTTTTTTATAGAAAAGTTGAACCAAATTTTGTGACACTTACCAGTATTTATGATCCGAAACCTTTGTTACATATTTAGAGTATTTTCGCTCCCAGTAATAAATATTTTCGCTCCACCTAGAATTTGATAGTGCCATGGCAAGATTGAACATTCTAGCATTAGTGTGGAATGTAGGTATATATGTCATTTCTTGATGATAACCCTTCAAACATGCATTATCTGGTAGCGGTTCAAGCGGATCCATAATGTGCACAATTTTGTTTTGCATGTCCAGTATAAATAAAATGTATAGTCCATTTTGATAATATGGTAGTATAATCTAAAAACAAACACACAAAACATAAGTGATTCATAAATAAAATAAATAAATTTTTATAAAGTAGTACACTGACCATAACATACCTAGCTACAATCTTGAATTTTGTAGTGCATGTCTGCCTAGCACTCAAGTTGAGGATTTGCATTAAGTATAGCTGTATGTTATATTTAAGATGGTATATATGGACAAACGTTATTTGAAGAATAATCATGACAAGGACGTTGTTGAGAAACGTCGTAATAAAAATTATATTAAATATAAATATTAGAAGTGTACTTATCTTTGATAGAAATCTGGTCGATGGCGATAAAGTTGTCCGGTCCTCGTGCTTTTCAGCCTGTTGTGACGGTGGTCGTAGTTGTCATAGCGCCGTTCTTCGTGGCAATCATCATTGCGACGTGGTCTGGTGGTCGATGTGGTCGGGCTCGGCGGAGCCGCTCGGGACGTGGTCGACGTGGTCCGTGGTCGATGTGGTCGGAGCTCGGCGGAGCCGCTCGAGACGTGGTCAACGTGGTCAGAGCTCGGCGGAGCCGCTCGGGACGTGGTCGACGTGGCTGCTCGATCAGTTCGGTGGTCGGAGGGCATGTACCTAGCTCCATCGCATTTGAAAAGTTTCAGCATCACTCAATATTACAACTAAAAACACCTCATTCGTCATCAGATTCTTGTATCTCGTTGTTTGCCGGCTGGAACAAGGTAGTGTCATATTCATCTACCCGATCGATGTTTGCATGTAACGTGCGAAGAGCTGGTGTCCCATCTGTATAGTAGTTATTATAGGTTGAAGTTATATAATTAACATCAGAAAATTACATATATGAAACTATGGATTGGAAGAAAAATGAATCAAGCAACCTATAGGCTGGGCATTGCTGCTTGGAGTATGCTGAATGGATTGATGTGCAATATTTCTCCCATCCCTTGTATAGCCTCGCATTTTATCCAATAATTCTTGTTTTATCGATTCTTCAAGATTGTTGTACCTTTCTCTATTTCTCCGCAATTGATTGGCACTTGAACTGGATTCTGTTTAATCATTTGGTTGATATGGTGAGATATAAATAAATCGTAAAAATGGGAAAAAAAAACATCATTAGTAGGTACTATAAAATTCCAGTTATTGTTTCACCTGGATCCTGAACCATCTGAGCAGACGTCTCCATTGCGATATCCCCACATACTTGTTGCCTTGGTCTGATGTAGTTATCATTTCGACGCAACCATTCCGAAGCATCGCATGGGGTTTGATTTTCTTTGTCCTGAACCGAGGTTGGGCCAGTAAAAATTTTGGAATTCCCGTGCGAAATGGGGTGATTCTGCACTCCTTGAATTAACGTACATGGGGTCATATTAACGTCAATAGAATTAATGTTTGGGGCGGAAAAATATCCTTCATTAATTGGTTGTAGAACGGCTGATGTCGTTGTCCCATAAGTTGGATATTGCGCTGCTGTTGAAGTAATAAGACAAGGTCAGTAAGTAATATTAATAATAAAAAGATATCAATCAGATGACCTGCAAAGAGCATTCTTTAGCACCTGGCTGATCTGGTGCATTAGGAGGTGCTGTTGTTTGTGCATTTCGCCTTTCCATGACATGATAGCAGTTTTACAGGAAGTATGAAGATAATGAGAACAACATACTTGAGGGGCGACGGTGTTTGTGCTTGATTTGGCAATCATTTACAAGATCTCTTTATACACACCAAAAAATTAACTAAACAAATACGAGCAATTACCTTTGTAGGTGCAACAACAGTAGGGAGACTTGAATGTGAAACATGAGTAAGCAACTAAGCATTGTTTCTCGAACTGAGATTTGTCCTTGTTCAGTTATCGTTGACAAAGAAGGTGGTAGTTGTATCTGTGGGGCTGAGCTGATAGAAAGAAAATATTAGTTTTGCTCTTGGACAGTAGAACACCGGTTCTTTTGAACTTAAGTCTGTTCCTTTGCCGGCTGAGGCTTGGGATCAGTGGCAAAAATAGAGATGTTAATTGTAGGTTGACAAAATGTGTAAATAAAAGATGTAAGTAAATGATACCTTTTTTTTGGCTGACAGTGGCTTCGGATCAGCTTAAAAAAAAGACCCTGCAGATTGCATATGTATAAAATGGCTTCGCAAAATCTAACTATTCTATTTTTCTGAATCAAGTCTAGATTTTTAGAATATGACATAGCAAGCCCAAAGCCAGCTCTTTTGGAAATGATTAGCTCTTGTTCATTTGATTGTTCTTAAGGTTCATGAACCAATAATAAATAAAATGTGCATCCAGATCATTACTTTGACATAAGGTATTAGATCATGTTTTCTTTTAAGAAATTGTAAGCTTCCTGATTATTAAGAGTAAGTTTACACTTGTGAGGAAGGGTATTGTAAATTTTGGGAATAACTATAGCGCCATAGCAGTGGAAATACAGTTCATGAAGAGAAAAGCTTAAGGACACCTACTTAACAATGTCATTTTTGTGATCCAACCGAGAAAAGGGCAGACCAGACAGGTAGAATAGGACCAATTAATCATGAACCCAACGAATCAATCAAACAAGCTAAAAGAAATAGAATACCCTCTTTGAAGCAAGCATCCGCTTGCAGTGTTGTGCTCACCAGAACCAGTCCTCCCTCTAAGATCAACGCTCCGATCGAGTAGTGAGAAAGGTCACCGTCGTCACCGATCTGGTACAACAGTAAATCAAAAGATTATTACTTGCAAAATCAAGATAATACCGTGGAAACTTATGGTCTTGGATGCCAAAGCTTCCACTAATGTCATGAGGAAGCCATGAAGTTCCCCATCAATCGTGAACGATTGGAAATCGGAGGAGCGGCATTGGCGGACTAACTGCAGACCTCAGGGGAGGACAAATAGTGAGAGAGGAAGAAGCCTGAGGCAGGGCTGGTTGCCGCTCGCGCGCCGCCACCCAGTTGGCCGACCACCGCGTTCGCTCCACAACCTCCACCCCAGGCAAGCCGCCGTTGCCATGCTTCAGCGAGATCCGCCCACCCGGCGAGGGTACATCGCTCATCTCGTGAGATCCACCCCGGCGACCGAATGCTTTGTAGAAAGTGTTAGAGGATCAAGACGCGGTGTTGGAGAGGAGATGGCGGTTGCCGGTGCCTCCGGACAAGACGAGAGGAGGCCAGCGAGCGACACGCACCGTGGTCGCCACTGCTTGGTTGACGCGAGCGCGCCGTGGAGCGGCAGATGCCTTCCTTCCCCTACTGCCGGTGTCCGGGAAGTTCCGTGATTTTTGGCGGCGTGGCGTTCGTAATACTCGGTGGGGGCTGCATGACGTGGGTGTGGGAGAGAATGAGGAGATTTGATACACTCAATCCAGGCCCTCGATTGTGTAATGAGTAAGGAGAGAGAAGGCTTAGAGTGCATCTAGACGGTTCGTTTAAAATGTGTTGTTTTCCTAGGTACACTTTTTGGGGTGGACTTAGAGGGGACATCTCAGCGGGGGGTCGTTTTCTTGTGTGGACGTAGGAAAGAAAAGATGGTGCATTAGTAGGGTAGACTTAGTCTAAAAGAGATACGTTCTCTTATTCAAACTCAAAAAGGTTACATTTTAGGACAGTGTA